GATAATTAATTGCAAAGAGCATAATCAAAATGGGTATCAGAGCACTAGAAGAAAATGTGAATGTGTAAATTAACATGTTACTTTTATTAAATCTCATTTTCTCCTTAAAAGCAAAACAAAGTAAAATATGAAACTAAACACAGATAAATAGAAATGCATAGTGCCCCACCAGTTTGATTAAGGTATAGAATTGATAATACTGCCTGATGCAGTGTTGATGCAGTGATAATTAAAGGGTTGCTCTCATCCTTTTCCTTCCTTAATGAAATTTGTGCTAACTGCCACTTGCTGGCTGACCCTACAAAAAGGCCAATTAGAAATCACTGCCTGAAGGATGCTCCTGCTATCTTTCACCTGCTTGGTATTTGCACAAGAAGGCTGGGCTGGGGTAGGATGACGTTGTAGGAAGCACAGCAAAATAAGGCTTATGATCTTTTTTCTCACCTGAGGCATTCTTCTAGGCAAGGCTCATTGTCACCATTTTCACCCTTTCACCTTTTAGAAAAATCACTATTGATGCCTCTGGCTGCATTCAAGTGATTTTTTTCCCCTTAGTCTTTCACGAGTTTCCTGGGAACCCATCGGGAAACTTTATCTACTAAATTTATTTGCTGACCACATTGAAATGACTCTGGGTGGCTTACAGCATTAAAACATCAAAATCCTAATTATAAGTATTTCTAAAACAATAAAAACAGAATTAAAGAACTCATAGAGTTCTATAGAAGGCAGGGGTGGGATTCAGTCAGTTTGGACAGGTTTGGGTGAACTGGAAGATAGTTGCAAGGACCGGATGGCCCCACCCTGCCCCTCCCACCCCTCCCAGGAGTTTCCATGCGGCCCGTTCATCATGCCAGTAGGTGCAGGGCCTGTGTGGAGACTCTGTGAGGGTGAAAAATGGGCCTACTGGAAGTTCTGGAAGTCTGGAAACGGGCCCGTTTCAAGCTTTTGAAGGGCCTCTGGAGCCCAATGGAGGCCATTTTCGCCCTCCTGGAGGCTCAAAGAAAACCTCCAGAGCCTGGGGAGGGCAAAAATTCCCCCCTACCATGAGGAGGCCACTCCCACCCATGGCCATGCCCACCCAGCAACCGGGCAGAGAACCAGTTACTAAAAGTTTTCAATCCCAACCCTGATAGAAGGGTTTATTGAAAATCCCTACTTTAGACCTGAGTCTAATTTTGAGTCAGATCATAACACTGAACAAGAAAAGACCGACTTGGTTAGAATGCTCTGCTGATTGCCTGTTGCCAACAGCTCAGCAGTTCAAATCTCACCGGCTCAGCCTTCCATTCTTCGGAGGTCAGTAAAATGAGGACCCAGATTGTTGGAGGCAATATGCTGATTCTGTAAACCACTTAGAGAAGGCTGTAAAGGACTGAGAAAGGGTATATAAGTCTAAATGCTATTGCTAATATATTTTGAAAGGCCAATGTTAGGTTACAGAAAACAGAAAATAGGAAGTGTTTTGCCCATGATGAAAACTCATCATCTTTCTAGTTTCTAACTAGTAGAAACTAGCCTTTGAGGTAGTGTGAAGCAAAGAAGCCTTCAGTCTGCTTCCTACCAGCATTCCAACATCATTTAGGAACTAGCCTTTGAAGAGATGAATTTTTGACTTCTCCATCCTTCTCTGTATTAGGAATACCTTCAGATTTTTCCTTGGATGTTGACCTATTATTTGTCTAGTCTGTGGTTTAGTCAATTATGCTTGACCCTTGGACTATTTTATGATCCTGTTACATTAGAACAGTGTCTCTCAACCTTGGCAACTTTAAGATATGTGGATATCAACTCCCAGAACTCCCTGGCTAGATGGCTGGGGAATTCTGGGAGTTGAAGTCCGCACATCTTAAAGTTGCCAAGATTGAGAAACACTGTGTTAGACTATGGATCCCAGCAAATTACCGTGTTTCCCCCGAAAATAAGACGGGGCCTTATTTTCTTTTGACCTCTAAAATAAACGCTGGGTCTTATTTTCAGGGAGGTCTTATTATTTTTGAGGTGCAGGAGGCAGCGAGCGTGGTCGCTTCATGGCTGCTGCTGCGTTCCAATATTTCGGAGAGGGCTTATTTTTGGCGGAGGGCTTATTTTAGTGCATGCACTCAAAAGCCCAATTGGGCTTATTATCCGGGCAGGTCTTATTTTCAGGGAAACAGGGGACTTTGGAGCAGTATTGCACATGCCAAAAACATACCATATGTGCTATTTCCAAAAACACAATCTGTGCTTAACAAATTGTTACATTGTCCTCTGACTGAATTGTTATCAATCTTGGTTAATGTTTGGATCTGCTGCTTTACATGAGCTATATAATCTCAATTGCAATGTTTGTTTTTACCCTTTAATTTCATGTAAAGTATAGCACCTAAACATTTCTCATAAACTGATTGGCAGCCCTGAAGTGCCAAGGAGGAAAACGGTTTATTTTGAAATAAGATTGCTAAAGGTCTGAGTACTTCTTCACGTGGAAGGGTGAAAACTTGGCAGAGTAGAGCTTCCTTGTTTCCATTTCAGACAAATGCATAACCTGTTGAATGTTTATGTATAAATACAACCTGCAAAAGTGCAGGAGAAGCCCAGGCAGAGAAGAAAGTACTTAGGTTTCAAAAATATATTGTTTCTTAGAATTAATTAAAAGAAACAAGACAAAAAAATATATTCTCTATTTCCCCCCTTGTCCAGCAGGGGGAGTGATATAACCAACAATCTCATGACTGAATTTAGCATTAGAAGTTCTGGTGTGGTTTCCACCAAGGAAGATCTCAACTTTCACTACTGTATTTGCTAGAAGTGCAGTGAATTAATGGGCTTTCCAACTGCTGGCTTTACTCACATGGATCAGATGAAAAAGTTGGGTTTTCTTAACTGGTTTCCATATTCCGAGGGGTCAGTCTTGCAAATTGAACAACTAAGACAAACTATATATTTTGGGGTTGTGTCCCATGTGGGACATTTCACTATCAATTACTGGGTTAACTCTATGTTTTCAAGCTCAGAGATTCTCAGTCATCCAGGTCATGGTTGTCCCAAAGGTGCTTTTTCAGGAGACAACTGGATTTTCTTGTTTTTCTTTTGTTGGAAGTCAAAACCCACCCCTCTCCTAGAAAAATGAAATATTTTAGGAAATATTAAAAAGGAAAAACATTTCTCCTAAAAAGAGAAGTAGAAACTCAAGAGAGGTAGGAACTCATCTCACCCCCCCACTACTTTTGTCAATAAGCCATTAAGGCCTGAACCAATCTATTCTACATAACAAGGATAGGATTAACCCTCTGCCGATTTCACCACAGGGCACCTGGGAAGAAGCAATGCTCAACCAAACCTGGACTCAAAACACAGCCTAGAGAGTTGCCCCTGCATGGTCCCATGAGAATCTGACAACCAATCAGAATACAAGATCAAGATCAAAGGCCAGAGAGGGCATAAAACCATGAACTTTCAGCATCTCGGCCTCTTTTCTTCTTCACCCAACATCTGGAAGCATATGATTCCCNTGGAGCAATAAAGAGGAATTAAGCTTTCATTCTGGCTGTGTTGCTTCTATGCCCAGCCCTGGGTCATCACACATCTTAAATTCACTGAGATTGAGAAATATTTCCCTGAAGAAATGCAAAGTTCATGTTATCTCCTTCCCCCAAACATTTCCAAAATGCTAAACTACGCACACAGCAGGAATGTTGATGCATCTGTATCCTATTTCTAAGCACTCCTACTTACATACTGAATTCATTAAGACAGGATCTAATAGCCCAATATGCATGTCATCTAGCTAGCCAATTCAGTGTGATTGCTTCCAGTTATTTAAAGAGCATTCTGCTTTCATTTCTTTTACACTGGAAATGGTTTTGGATGCTTGACTCTCTACATTGCGCTATGCTACAAATCAAAGGCTACATATGGCTGTGTGATTCATAGATCTTTGCAGAAATCCAAAGGATCATGAGACAGTAGCAGAGAAATATAGAAAACACACCAGCTTTCATTGTCTTTTAAACTCCTTATTTTTAGTAGTCCAGATACGATAGACCTAGTAAGTTAGAAATGTATCCATTGTGTTTGCAGAGTACTTGCTGACTGAATAACCTGGCTAATTGTGACTTATTCAAAAAGAAATATGTATAAGAAAATCATGCATGAACCCATCCACTCAATGTAAAGGCTATTTTATATGCGCAGAGAATCGCTTCAGGTCAGGTAGGAGAGGCAAATCTACAGCCAGCAAACCTCAGAGCACGCTTGACAATTAAATCAACAGTTAAGCAACCACTGAGTTTCAAGGCCATGAAACTAGACCTGAAATGCCCTAGAACAGGAGGAGAAAAACACAGCAACGTTCTGACACAGTGCTGTGTGTTCTTTTCTACAGCTTCATTGCAGTATCTGATCAAGATCTTTGCCTAACTCTGCCACATCGTTCCTGTGAGGTTTTAGCTGACTTCAAGCCTGGTAGCTCTGCAACTTGAAAATCCAGGAATTTCTTCTTGTTGTTATGTTCTGCTTGGTTTTTTTTCTCTCTGGAGCTCATCTTCCTATAATCCCATTTAATAAGTGGTGCTCCAATCTTTATATCCTACCACAATCAGCTTCTCAGATTTCTTGCCATGATGTTGTGGTCCCAACACATCTCCATCAAAAGTGGGATTCACTTACCTTCCCTACCGGTTCACAAATGTGAGTGTGCTCATCTGTGCATGTGCACCACCTTCTGTGCATGCGCAGTGCTCAAGCATTACGTCGGGGTGGATGGGCGGAGCCTCCTGCAGCCGCCGCTACCGGTTCACCCGAACCGGAGAGAACCGGTTAAATACCACCTCTGATCTCCTTGTGTCTCAAAAGCAACACGTAAGGCACGAGAAAACAAACTTCTTCCTCTTGATATTTCTGAAGGTGTAACTTTTTAAAAATAAAATCACAAATCCCTCTACTTTATTCATTTTAAACAGTAAAATTAAGTTTATTTGGTTGTTGCCTGCTTTAATTCACAGAATATAGACTCCACAAAATATACAACTGCTCTTTATTAATAAGCTCTCCCCCCAAAAAAAATAAATTGTGGTTACAATCAAGTCATATATGAATTCTAGATGATACATATAGATAGTATGTGTTATGTATTATTTTGGCTGGTCCTTCCCTGGTGGTCTTCTGCATCTCAGAGGGTCCACCCTACCAGAAAAGCTGACCATAATCTGTAATATAAATTGTGAAACTAAGAAAAAAAAACATATTGTGGCTTTTGGTTATCTTCGGTTCAAGACTAAATGAATAATAAACGAATAACAAAGGCTTTTAAGAAGTTTTTAGAAGAAGTCTCTTGTTTTTGGTTTAAAAAACACAGCTATCCTTCTGAAACCAAAAACGAGTGGTTCTCCTTTGGATAGACATGTGACCTATTCTTGACTCCACCTCCAGAAAACAGAACTGAAGAGGGGTTGGCAACTCACCTTGTTTGCCTTCCTGTTATCATATATTTTAAAATCCATCTAAAACAGTCTGTATTACAGTAAATATCTGTATAGTATGCATGTTCAGGATTTTAAAAACAGGGAAGGGCACCTGGGAGGAATAGACTTCATGTAGCTAAAGTCTATAAATAATCTTCAATTTTATTATATATATATTTTTTTAAAAAGGATCTTACTTTAATATGTTGTTTGTGTAAAATTCAGATGACTCTGCATCTGCTATTGTTCTTTGACTTTCTCCCTAGAATTCTTTGCTGTTTCCCTCGCAAATCCATTTTTTGTGTGGATTTGTCACTTGCTTTTGTGAGACATACACATAGATGTATGCTTTTTGTGTCGCTCTCATAGTTTTTTTTTTTTTTACACATTCAGAGGACTATACCTTCTCCTGCTTTCTCTGCAGCTCTTAAGGATCCTTTCCAGAAAGTATCTTATTACTGCTTCTCATTCTGGATCCCAGAACTAAATGCTGAAAGACTGGTTGACAATCCCACTATTTGGAAATAACTCAGAATCTGTTTGTCATAGTAAACTTGACTATATAACTATCATGGGTGTTAATTTGTGACAAGAATCTTAAACATCATTTCATATCTGCTGAAATCCCAATAACAAAGAAACACACATATTTTTACTGGTTATTGTTGATGGGATACAGCACCTAAGATGCCAGCCTAAGGTTGGTATGCTCTAAATCTTAGCTAGTACTTTCCTTATTGATTGCAACTTCTCTTTTTACCCCACTTTTTAGTTTCCCAACTTGCTCCTTCAAGCATTAATTTAGCTAAACTGAAGATTTCAACACCAGCAACAGAACTGCTCTGCTGTATAAACATCTGAATTCCAGATGTTTAGTAATTTCTCTTCAGACAACATCCCCCATTGCACACGTGCGCCTGTCCTGCTGAATCTCAAAGGATTAGCCAAGGGTTAGTGATGGGAAAGGGCACCGTATTATCTCAGTACTTGAAAGGAAGGTGAGGTCTCTATTACCTTCCCTGTCTTTTTCGTATCTGAGGACCCTTGTGAACGAAAAGCCACCTTGTTTGGGTGTTCTTCTTTTCCCAGATGTGAAAATGCCCCATTTTTTTTTTAAAAAAAAATTGGAGCAAGCATTAATGTACAGTAAGTAGCCCCCGAGACAAAACTTTGAATGTCCACTGTTTACCAAAATGTCAGCATGTAGGTATTCAAAGCAGAAGGTCTTAATCTATTTTGGTTTTAGCTGATGCTTTACTCTGCCCCAGGTAGCGTAGATGTTCTCCTCAGATTTTCTTTGACTTTAATAAATTCTGGTGCATTCTCTTCTTGCTTCTCATCTTCCCTTTCCAGCTGATTAAAAAAAACCAGGCAGAAGAAATAATTAGGTGAATTTTTTGGTAATTTTTAAATAATCCCTGCAACATTTATGAGTTATAGAAATGGGAGACCAGCCAAACTTTTAAGGGAAGTTAATAGGCTATGTGATGTGTCACTCGGTGATGCTTAGACAACTGGCCTTAAGTGTCACCTTCTGCATCCAGTCACCAAAACAAACATTTGTTTTTTGTTAATCACAGTTTAGAACCTAAAGGGTTATTTGAATTCTAGCTCTATATCAGGCAACTAATAGCTTATCAACTCATCAGCTTTGATTTTCAGTTCAACCCACACCTTAAGGTCACTTCTATTTTCTTGATGCAATAACTGTTGTAAAATGTAAAGCTTTCACAGTTCAAAATTTGTCTCTAATTGTGCTCAGTAATAAGATTCAGTAATAAATAATCCTCAGGTACCTGCATGTATGTTTCAAACTCTTTCTTTTAAAAAAAGATCAACTCTTTATTAGTGTTTAATTCTTTTTCTTCCAGACATGTATTA